TTTATTTTTAAAATTATATAAATGAAAGAATTTTATATTTTCAAAAATAAAATTAAAATATGGAAAGGATAATCTTATATTTTCAAAATAGTTTTTCACGTAAGCTCCAAGTAGGAGCTTCCTCTTTTATGTTATACAAAACTTCTTTTTGACTTTTCAAAAACCGAGCTTTTAGAGGTGTTTAGCCCTGCTTTAGTTTTTGAAGCCGAAAAGCACTTTTAAAAGTCATACCAAACATAGGCTATATCAGCGCCAGAGAAGCTCAGTCCGCACTTCGGCCACTAATTTCCCACGTCATAGAAAGTTTTGTTCTTTTAATTATTGGGTAAATGCCACATTTGCTCACTGAGATTACTAAATCGTGTCATGTTTAGTCATTAGAAAAAATTAATATCAATTTTGGTCACTCGAATTACTGAAATAGGTCACATTTAGTCACTCTCCCGTTAGCCTCCGTCCAACTCCGGTCACTCGAATTAATGAAACATGTCTCATTTAGTCACTAGAATTACTGAAACATGTCACATTTAGTCAATCTCCCGTTAGTTTCCGTCCAACTCCATTAATAGAGTTGGACGGAAACTAACGGGAGAGTGACTAAATGTGACATGTTTCAGCAATTCGAGTGATCAAAATTGAAATTAATATTTTCTAGTGACTAAACATGACATGATTTATTAATTCCATTGATCAATGTGGTATTTATCCTATAATTATTAGTTATAAAAGTCAATGTATTTAAAACTGAATCGCTATTCGTCGCGCTAAAATTTAAATTTTTTCGCCCTAAAACCAGTACTGTCAAAGCCGAACCGAGCCGGCCGGCCGGACCTCCAAAGCCGCCACCCGGCCATAAAACCGGCTCAGATCAGCTATTTAACCGCTGCGGGTTTATACAGCGGCCGGCGAGCGGCCGAAGCCGTTAACCGCTCGAGCCGCTCAAGCCGGTTGCGCAGTTCGGCCGTTTGGTTTACCTTAAAAAAAAATTAAAATCGAGAAGGCCAATCGTGGGTCTAGGGCAGGCAAACAAAATCTAACTTTCATTTCTTCGTTTTCGACCCTAGAACAGACTATAGAGGGAGAGCGGCGCCACACTGCCGCCGTCAACCATCTTGTCCCAGCGTCGGCGCTTCACGACGGCATCGCCATCCTCAATTAGCTCGTCATCGCAACGCCTTGTCGTAGAGAGCAGCTCCCCGCTCCCAGCGCTTCCGTCCCGTCGCCATCGCTGCAAGCAGCTCGCCATTACCGCAAGCAGCTCGCCATCGCCAGTCCTTGTCGTAGCAAGCTACTCCCCGCTCCCGACGCTTCTGTCCCCGTCGCCATCGTCGCAAGCAGCCCCCTGTGGTGGTTTGGAATTGGATTCTTGAACTTTTATTTTTGAACAATGTGGTGGTTTGGAATTGGATTCTTGAACTTTTGGTACTTATGTTTTAGAATTGTTAAGAGTCAAGACTGTAATTTACTAATTTAGTCATGGTTTACCATGATTAATAAGTGTCCACTATTTATACTGATTGTTTATTAGGTACCGGCTTTCTAACGGGTTTTAAACGGTTTAATGTTGGTTGGACCGCTAAAGACCGAGTCGTTCACATTATTGGGTCATACTCCGGATCGCTTTTGACAACATTGCCTAAAACATACCAAATTAACATTCTTACCCCTAGTCCCAATTTCAACCTAAACACTGGACAAAAAAAATCTTTTAGCCCCCTGCCCAGCGGTCGGCGAGCCAAGGTCCTACGTCCTCTAACCACTGTTGCCGTTGCCGGATTCTTATCTCCAGCGCTTGCCAGCTCAACCGGACCATCGCTGATGCTTTTTTTCTGTTGTCGGTGTCTGAGTTCCTCCCAAGCAAACGGAAGAAGAACGAAGAAGGCTACACTGCACCTTCTGTCGGCGCCGAGCAAGAGGAAGAAGGACACGAAGATTATAATTCTAATTAAAGAAATGGTGACGCCATCTGCCTAGGGATAGGGGTGGGCAACGGGACGGGACGGGTATCCCGTCCCGTTTGAAACGGGTACCCAGTCCCATTTGAAGGTCAAAGTCCATCCCATATCCCAAACTCGTATGGGAAACGGGTACCCATTACCCGTACGGGACGGATAACGGGTACCCGTTTATACCCGTTTAACCCATTGATACCTAGGAAAAGAGGAACAATGCTACTGCTGTTCATAGAGAAAATCAACCATAGCAGCCTACCGTCCAGAAAGGGACAATCACAATGTCACCACTGCCAACAGATGAGAAAAGAAAAGGCACCCATTACCCTGCCTACAAATAAAAAACGTGTCCAGAAAGGGACAAAGTCACAACTGCCAACATTTGAGAAAAGAAAAGTCACCCATTGCCCTGGTCTTCTCACTTCTGCTGCCTTCTCGCATTTCCCCGTTCCCTTTCCGTTTCACATTGCCACCATATGTAAGTCTGTGTTTGAGAGTCCAGGGAGGGAGTCAGGGAGAGGACGAGGACGAGAGTTGAGACCGTCTCACTTTCACTAGAGGCTAGGTCTTGAAAAAGAACGGGCTGAAATGCCGATTGGGCTGGAGTAGTCGAGTTGGGCTGGGTTGTATTTCACATTTTCACTTTTAGAATTTTCAATATTTTCTGTAACGGGTATAACGGGTACCCGTATTACCCAAACGGGTATTATCGGGTTACCCGCGGGTACCCATTGTAGAAACTTACAATCCCAAGTCCCATCCCGCTATAAATAAAATGGGTATTTGGGTACCCGTAACCCTAAAAAAACGGGACGGGTATGGGTATACCCAAATACCCGTTTCCCGTTGCCCACCCCTACCTAGGGACTATAAGTTTTGTCCATTCCTGGCTTTGCCGTTGTTCTTCCAAAGGCAAGGATCGGGGACCCCTGCTTCAAGAAGAGGCTGGTTGATGATAGATTTTTGGAAATTAGATTTATGTGAGCTTGGAATGCAATTTCAACTTTACCATCTTTTATTTGATGATAGATTTTTAACAGGTTTTTGAAGATGGGTGAAAAGCTGTAACTTGGGGTCTGGGTGTCTGCATCGAGAGTTGGTTAAATTGTTACAGGGATGAACTCATATTCTATTGTATCTGATACTGATGATTACTAACTATATGTAGAAGAATTTATTCAACTGAAAAAAAAATTATAATTAAAAATGACCAGTGTGATCTGGTGTTTGTGTTGCGCTGGGATTTGGAAGGAAAGATGCAGGCGTGTTTATGGTGGTGCAAGTAAAACAGTAGAGGAGTTAGTTCGGAAAGTTACCACTGAGCTGCGAATCATCTGTAATGATAATGTAGTCTTATTAGAAGGTTTGCAGGTGCTCGGTATGTTGGAGAGTATGTAGGGGAATGGTAGTTGTTGTTTTTTGAGTTGTATGGGGGTGGAAATGGCTTGGGGTAGAGGTTATTTCCTTTTGCTTTTTAGGGTTGCTCATCTCGAGCTTTCCTTTTCGTTGTATTGGTTGGCCATTTGTGCTTTGTAAATGGTCTCTTTTTGCAGTTAATAAAAAGAGTAACTGATTCAACGAAAAAAAGAATTATAATTAAAAAAATATTATAAATTATGTTGTTTTTTCTTTGATTATATTTTGTTATTTGGTGTAATATATGAGTTTGTTTTGGGTTTAACTGTTTAGAAGATAAATAAATGAACTAAGGACATTAAAGTAAATTTAACACAATTAGGGCGACGAATAAGAAATTTTAGGGCGACGAATAGCAATGCCCATTTAAAAGGGTTAATTGCATGGTTGATCACTGACATAAAAAAAACGTTCAAGTTTGGTCACTAGAAATATTTAAATCCATTGGTGGTACTTCAGTTTACTGAAACCGTTCATGTTTGATCACTCGTTGTCCAACTACGTTAACTTTTGCTTACATGGCGATCTACTCAAAAAGTTGACCTTTAAATATGTGACGTGGCAATTTATACATAATAAAATTTATGAAATTAAAATTTAAAATTACCATCCCATTTCCACCCCATTATCACTTTTATTTAAAATAAATAAAAAACTCTAATTTCTTCTAATCTCTAATACCAATACCCCGCCGGCAGCATACCCCGCCGTTGTTGCAGCTTCCATTGTTGGGCTTCCTTCCCACAGACCGAAAATCTCCTTTACCATCGCCTCGTCTCTGGAATTGTTTCGGCACCAATCCACGGGCAACAGTAGAACAAGATCAGGTTCTGAAGGGCGGCGGAATTGGGCTGGGAAGGAGAGAGTAGCGAGGTGTTGAGAGTCACTGCGCCGAAAATTGGGGGGTAAACTGGGCGACGGTTAGGGTTTTTGAGGACAGGTTCACGACTATTAAACGGAGCAGCAGGGGACCTGCTTTGAGAATAGGGTGCTGAGATGAACAGCGTATAGGATCCCGTGCTGTGACACCGTTGTTTCCGTAGCGGTCGACCTTCCTCCAGTGAGAAAAACCAAGGTGTTTGCTTAAGAATTGCGAGTGGTTTGGTTCACCCGACTGTTAAAAATCCAGTAGAAACACCCGTTATTCAAATCTTAATCCCTTCACTTCCTTCTGAATGGAGGAAGAAATGAGAACTCATCCCAATGAGGAAAATTGATTGAAGAAACCAAGAAAACAACGACATATCAGAGCAAACCAATGCAGCAACGGATGTCTGAAAGTCTGAGGTGGGAAGTGACGGGATGGAGGCCGGAATTGGGACGAAGATAGCTGACGCAAATAATACGATGAAAGTTAGTGCTGATAGCAGTGGCGGATCCAGGGGGTGGCCACCCCGGGCCACGGCCCAGCCCTCCCCTGAATCCGGAACTAGTATAACCCTTATGAGTTTATCGATTTAACCATTTGGCCCAGTGTTATTTTATAATAAAATTGTGGTAATTAGGAAAATGGGTAAGATGAACATATTCAAATCACAACTCTAAATTTAGCCTGAAAATTCTAGCTCCAATAATTCTCATATAAAGAAAAGCAAACAATGAAACCTAAAATTCTAAAACTTAAAAGACTAAAAAGAAATATGAGGTTTATTCTCTTAAGAAATAACTTGAGCAGCTGTTGAAAATAGGAATTGATTAGTCGATTGTGTTGACATTTGCGCAACAAAATGAACGATGAATTTCTCTCCAATTGATTAAGTATTTTATTTTAAAGAGAGTATGCTATTGATGTGGATGTAAACTCTATTATTGACGAATTCACTATATTAAAATTTAAAAGATTGACGTGTACAGTTGATATTGTAAAAAAAAACTGTGATTTTTTAACGATATCTAATTTTCTAATGAAATGCGGCCTAGTGCTACACTGTGTCCTGGATCCGCCGCTGGCTGATAGTTTATATAAAATGGAAATAAATAAATTGGTTTATGTAAAAAATTGAATTTTATTATTTTTAAATTTCCACGTCACACATTTAACGATCAACTTTTAGAGTTGACCGCCACGTAAGCAAAAGTTAACGGAGTTGGACGGAGAGTGACCAAACGTGAACGGTTTCAGTAAACTGAAGTACCACCAATGGATTTAAATATATTTTTTTACAGTAAAAATCATCCTTTTATTCCACTTCAACTCGAGAGACCAAATACATTAATCAAAGGAAATCAGAAATTAAGTCAAGAATACTAAACTAGTTAACTGGGAGAGAAGATCTAGCAAGTGATCGAGCAACCCAATCCGCTCTAACATTATATTTTCTTGAAATTGTCTTGACCTTCACTTGAGGGTTCGACCGAAGGATGGAAATCATTGATCCAATCCAAGCTGATACCTGCCATGGCCAACATCGAGGATCTTGATCAAGAGCATTCACTAACACCTGGCAGTCAGACTGGACAACACATTTCGTGTCATATTCTTGTGCTAATTTTAGACCTTCCAACAGAGCTTTGGATTCTGCTTCGAGCGGGGTGGAACAAAGGAGAGTATCAGCTCGCCCATCACAAACTTGTCCATGGCGGTTAATGACCACAACACCATATGCCGCCGGCTGGGAGTCGCTTAAGAACGACCCATCACAGTGAATCACCAGATTATGATTGCTTGGCGGTGGAGAAGTGAGTGAATGAGATCCCCTGAGCTGAAGAGGAGGAGAATCGGTACGGGGGCTCCTCGGGCAAGTTGTCCATTCGATGAACTCCTTGTAAGTACGCAAAATCACGTTCGGATACCAAGGGATCCGATTCTTGAAAAGACATTCATTTCTAGCCTTCCAAATATTCCAACAAAGGAATACAACATGGATAAGTGCTCTGGATGGATAGAATCCTTGATGGAGAACAACCAATCGAGGAAAGAAGAAGACTGAGCCGGCAGAGGAAGGTAAGGGAAGACATTGTTCCAGGATTCCCAAGCGTGGGGACACGAGAAAATGCAATGAAAAAGGGACTCAACGGGACCCTGGCACACTTGGCAAGTAGAGCTGGGGGAGCATTTTCTATGGAAGAGTCTCTCTTTTGTTGCAAGGCCGTTTTTAGCACATCTCCAAATAAAGAACTTGAGCTTAGGTGGAATGTCAAGCCTCCACATCCATTTCCACATCTCAATACTACTCATCGATTGGGCTGCAGATGTCGACTTGTGGATCGCATGATATGCTGACTTGACGGTAAAATTTCCATCCTCGTTTAAACTCCATGCCTAGAAATCCTTTGAGTCCTCCTCCCCAATCGGGATTCTCAAGATAGCCTCCTTATGCGAAGATGAGACATGTCCCTCGATTAACTCATTATTCCATATTCTATCTCCTGGATCAATCCAGGTACTGACTCTAGAGTGATTTTGGGGTCCACTCTGAATGCTCGCCTTTTGAAGGAAAGGAACCCAAGGGTCTTGATCAATCCATGTATCCTCCCCCGTCCCAATCACTCTGATCGCTCCCAGATCAATGACTTTTTTGGATTCCCACAAGCTAGCCCAGATCCACGATGGTTTGCTTCCTTTTTTTGTCGTCGGGAAGTTGCCTCTCGGGAAGTACAATCCTTTAAGCAGCCTGCTCCACAAGGATTCAGGATGGGTAAGAAGCCTCCAGGCTTGTTCGGCAAGAAGTGCTAAATTGAAGTCTCTAAAACTTCGGAATCCCAAACCACCTTCTGACTTAGGGGTACAGAGGATCTCCTTCTTACACCAGTGCAAAGAACTCTTTTCCATCGATCCTGACCAGAAGGAATTACTGAGAAGAGTATCCATTTTCTTGGTGAGGGAAACAGGCAAAAGGAAGAGGCACATGGTGAAGGATGGGATGGCCTGAATCACAGACTTGAGGGGAATTTCCTTCCCTCCGTGTGAAAGAAGCAGGCTCTTCCAAGCTTCTCCCATCTTTTCCATCCTTTGAATGAGGAAATAGAAGGTTTCTTTTTTTGAATTCCCCATTCGGTTGGGACTCCAAGATATTTTGAATGGCAGTTGGACGGAGAAAACCCAATGTGATTTATGATGTCATTTTTTTCTTCCGCTGGAACATTTGCGCTGAAGAAGACAGAAGATTTGTTGATGTTGACTTCCTGGTTAGTGATTGACCCATAATCGTTGATAATCTCCAGAATTCTTTTCGCCTCTTGGATGTTGGCTTTCCCAAAGATAACTGTGTCATCAGCAAAAAAGACAGTGAGTGAGCGAGGGGCATCTCATATTGAGCTTAATTCCTTTGATACGGTCTTCTGCTACTGCTTTATCAATAAGGAAAGTGAGGGCATTAGACATTAAGATGAAAATAAAAGGGGAAAGAGGATCTCCCTTTCTAATGCCTCTCGAGGGACAGAAGCTTCCTGGCGCTTCTCCGTTGAACAGTACCGAGAAACTGACCGATCGTATACAGGTGCTAACCCATTTGCACCACTTCTCATCGAACCCATATCTCCTAATGAGGGTCTCAAGGCATTCCCAATCGACCATGTCATAAGCCTTCTTCATATCAAGTTTAAGCATCATATCCCTTCTGTTACCGAGTTTGTGGTTCTTGAAATGATGAAGAACTTCATGGACAATAATGATATTGTCTTGGATGAGGCAACCGCCCGTGAATGCTGTCTGAAGCTCTGAGACCAACAAAGGGATCCATCTCTTAAGACGGGTAGCCATTAATTTTTATATGATTTTATATCTAAAATTGCAACAGCTAATGGGTCGAAACTGGCCAATCATTTCCGGATGGTCAACCCTTGGAACCATTGCAATATGAGTTTTGTTCCATCCTTCGGGCATAGTTGACGTCTCAAAGAATTCCTTAACTTCTCTGCAAAGAGTTTCACCAACCTTATCCCAATACCTCCTATAGAATTTTCCTGAGAACCCATCTGGACCCGGAGCTTTCCTGGCACCAAGCGAGAAAACTGCTTTCCTGATTTCTTCATTGCTTACTGCAGCACAAAGATCCTCATTCATCTCTTCAGTTACCATCGTTGGAAATCCTTGGAGGAGGTGGGTAAAGGACACAGAAGGTCTTGCTTTGAACAGCTCTTTATAGAATCCATCCGACATATCCTTCAACCTTGTCTCATCTTCCACCCAATTCCCCCTCTCATCTTTAAGATGAAGGACTCTATTTTTATTTTTCCTATGGATAGTACTTGAGTGGATGAAGGAAGTGTTTTGGTCACCTTTTTGTAGCCAATTGACTCTAAAAAGCTTCCTCCTCTAGCCATAATTTGTTAAGTTCCGCAGTAAGGCTCTTTTCTTCCTCGACATTTTCATTCATCCGAGGAGGTTGTTGGAGAATCTCAAGTTTGGAAACAATTTCATTATCCCTGAGAATGCTGTTCTTATGGAAGTCTTTTGACCAAGCTTTCAATTCTCTCTTGCAGTTTCTCAACTGTTCACTAGAAGACGCACCTGGGTCACATTCTCTGCAAACAATCTCCTTGCATTCCTCTTTCTCCAGCCATCTTTCGTCCACTCTAAACGGTGTTCTTCTTCTCCTGCTACCCCTATAGTGGAGATCAATTCTTATTGGACAATGATCTGAAACCACCATTTTTTCATGGAATACCACAGCCTCTCCAAACTCTGCTCTCCAAGATGGCGAGCACAACACCCTATCCAATCTCACTCTTACCAAATTTGGACCAGTTCGTTTATTTGACCAAGTGAAGGGGTTTCCTTTGAAGCCGATATCAATGAGTGAATTTCCAAAGATGAACCTTTTGAAAGGTTCAACATTCTCGTACCTAAGCGGGCATCTCCCTTCCTTTTCATTTTCATAGATAGCAGCATTAAAATCCCCAACAATGACCCAGTTGTCATCCCTACTAGTCCGAAGGGTACTCAAGTGCTCCCAGAAATCCCTCCTACTTACAGCAGTGGTTGGGGCATGAACAAAAGTACAAAAGAACTTTTTCCCCATATCAATACTAACATCCATATAATACTTATCACTACTAAGTACATTAATACTAATTCCCTCCTTCCACCATAACACAAAGCCCCTAGACGAGTTAACCGGTTCAACATACTCCTTATTAGGGTAAATTTTTAAACTTCTTCTTTGCTCTTCCATGAAAGCTTCATCCTTGCTTGTTTCCATCAAAAAGACAATAAAGGGCCATGACGTCGTATAAGACGTTTTGCATAGCTTCTCGTAGGGGATTGGCCAAATCCCCTACAATTCCAACTTACAATACTCATGGGATGTGAGGTGGCTTATGGCGAACCACCGCTGCCGTTGTGACACTTTCTTCTTCCTCACGAGTGCCTTCATTATTCTTGTGGGCTTTATACTTGTGTTGTTTCTTCTTATTTCCTCTTCCACTCACCCCTTCAGCAAACCCAGAACTGGTTGGGCTCAAAATGAAGCCTGCCCCTTCATTAAACCCATGTTCAGCCCCTATTGGGCTTATGAAAGACAGCCCTTTTCTTTTCTTTAATGTTCGGCCCACTTCTCCCTCCAACTCTTCCTGGTTATGTTGATATGGGCTCTGGATGTGTAAGTTTGTTTGGTCTGGCTCCAGATTGGGGTTCCATTGGGCTTGAACATTGGAGAAGCTAGGCCCGAGGGAAAGTTGGTTGCCCATCTGGTGACTCTTGTCAATCTGACCGCGGCTCCCTTCATTCCCATCGATCCTCAGACTCCCCTGTAACGCAGCCGCCGCCGACTTCATATCCACCGTTAGGTCCCTCGCCCCTATCGCCTCCCTGTACCTTCCTTTCAGTCTCCCAATATTGTTCCTCTCCTCACCCCTAGCCTCCTCCTCCAATCGCCGGATGGTGAAACCCGGTGGAATCAGGGGATGATTTCCGCCCGCCTCTCCTGTCTCGGCGAGCTCTGCTCCCTCTGTTTCTACCCTGCAAAAAGAAGAGTCACCAGAGCTATAATGTTTCCTCCAAGAATCAGGGTCGGAGCTGGGATATCTTGGTTCTTCTTCTTCTGAACGGCCCCTGCTTCCGCTCGATCTGTAGGGAGACTCAATCCCCGCTTTGAGCTCCGAGGTGTAGATCTCCGACAGCTGGACACGTCCTCCCTTCTTTCTTTCTTCCTTCATTCTTGAACACGACGGCCAGTTGTGACCAATTCGCCCACATAAATAACACAGCTCAACCAGCCTCATATTTAAATGAAATCACTTCACAGTAATCTCTTCCCGTGGCTTCATCAGTAGATGGAAAGTCGAACCCCATCGGAACCGGTTCGCAGAGATCAACTTCAGCCAGCATTCTAACAAATCTCCTGTATCCATTGAAATGGATACTAGCCCTATCCATATCAATGAATTTTTTGAAATATAAGGTACCAATGGATATGATGTTCTGTTCGCTTCTTTGACTTTGGTGAAGCCCATGAATCTGCACCCAAACTGCCAGTTTATTCATTGGGACAGCTTCGGGTTCTCCTCTTCCTTCATACTTCTCCAATGCTGTCATTGTATTGGAGAGACTCCAGGGTCTTTCGCTCCATATCCTTTATCGTGTTTTGGCATCCTTGAAGGTGAAGATGAAAAGGTTCTGAGATTGGGTTGGCTGAACTCCAATTTCGCCATACTTCCCCCAGGCTTACCTTGCAGCCCCTGCTGCCTTTGCCAAGGCAACTTTGTTCTCAGTTAACATCTTCCCCAACAGCATTGAGATACCCCTACCAGCATTGGAAGTGAGCTTGGGACGGTCCCCTTTGCCTCCAGATGATGAGGGGTTGCCACGCTCCGTGTTCAATCGACCGGTTCTCTCAGCAAGAGTGTTGATATCCATATCGATAGGGTTCTTGTTATTTCGGTGGAGGCTATGTTTTGTTAGAAATTTGGGAAACGGCAGAGCAAGCGGGGAAAGAGAGAGTGACTTCTGATTTTGGGTTTTTTTGTGGGTTCGCAGGGTTGAAATGTGAGAGATAGGGCTCTGCTTTGGGAGGCTTTTTGGTTCAGGTATAGAAGGCGATAGATGTGAGGAAAAGCTATGTTTTGGGGCGTTGCTGGGAAGAAGCAGGTTAGGCGAGGGATGAAAGAAGTATTTTCCAGCAGCTCTTTGATGTGTGAGTTTGGCTTCTCTCCTTCCTTCCTTCTTATACACAATACCTCTTAAAGCCAGAGCATTTACTCCCACCGATCTTTGGTAGCTATCCCTCTTTTCATATGTTCCATCATCTTTACTGAAGCTACTAGGCAAAGGTACGCTTTCTGCCTCTATATTTATTCCTGCTCTTGGCTCAATGTTTGGCACTGGCAGATTCATACCAACCGCCAAATCTTCTTCTGCTATAACATTTACCCTTCTCATGTTCCAGCTCTCTTCCATTACTCTGCACTGGGTACTTTCTTTCACATCAGGAGGAACCCATTGAATCTCCTTTTTCTTCCTTTTCTTCCTGTTTCTACTGACCCCCATCTTGGCCTTTGGTTTCTTGAATCCATGGTCCTCCTTGCTTCCTTCTTCCCCTTTGTAAACATTATATGCGAAGTGATGTGTATCAGAGTAGGAGAGGAGACTCTCCCTACTGCTAATAGCCTCCAGAGATCTCTCCACAGGAGCAAGAAAAGTCTCAAACGAGGAGACGGGAAACAGTACCCCAGAGGGTACAGAGAAAAGAGCCGTTTGAGAGAAAGTCATTTTTTTCAGACGAAGGAGATTGGTTGGATTTTAAATATTTAGAGTGTCCCTATTAAAACTTGCCACATTTAGTCTATTTAAATACGGATTAATTACATGATTGGTCATTGAAGGCGTGAGACTCGGATGACGGATCAAAACACTCACATCCTCCGGGCTCTCATTCAGATTCGGTCAATTCAAAGAAGCTCGGAAGCGGACCTCAGCTTTGGTAAAGCCTCGTGATTAGAGTACAAAAAAAATTCAAGTTTGGATTTAAATATTTAGAGTGTCTAAACTTGAATTTTTTTTTTGTAATCTCAATGACCAATCATGTAATTAATCCGTATTTAAATAGACTAAATGTGGCAAGTTTTAATAGGGGCGGTGCACAACTTAGGTGATGCACCGGGTGTGCCCAAGAATTTCTCATCTTCTGGGCCTACGTGACGGGAAATTGTGGGTTGGCCGACCTACTTGGCAATTAGTGCTCTCACCCGATTTGTTTGGACGAAGTTTTTTCCCCCATAATTTTGGACGAGGATTTGCTTGAGTAATTTGTGAGGGATTTAAGCTAAATATTTTTATTGTTTATAAATGTGGATTTTGATTAGAGATGTGAAATTATAGTTTTGATTGTTTATAAAATTTAATTTACAAGGTTGGAACAAATGCAATTGCATATGCAAGTAAAAAATGGAGATTTTTTATTATTTATTATTTTCTTGTCCCTTTTACTTATTTTTTATAATTTAAACATAATATTTTATTACATATGCAGTTGCTAGTGGATTGCATTGATGTAGGTGCAATGATATTCTAATGAGTTGGATTGCAAAAATATTGAGGTGGAAAAAAAACTTCATATATGCGATTATGGGCGCAAGCCACATCATCTTTTTATTACTAAATTATTTATTATTAAAGTTTTTCATGTTTATAAAATTTTATTAAAAATCTATTATAATTACAAATTAATTGCATTGATGTAGGTGAATGAAAGCAATGTGATTTAAATTGAAATTTTTTGAGGTGACAATAAAGATCGTACAAATATAATTACTTTTTACAATTGTTTTGCAATTGCATTGAAGATGTGGAAGCCCTAAAACAATAGAGGGGTCGTTTGGAGAATATGAGTTTAAATCTACAAATTGTCAACAATCTAAAGATTCTAACTCTTCGGATAGTTGAAAACATATTTTAAAAAGTTTATTGTTTGGTAACTGTGATTGTTACATTCAATTAAAATACAAATTTTAATTTTATATTAAATACCATGTTTATCCTTAATAATAAAAAATTAGAGTGGTTCGAGAAATATTAAAAACTTTGTTGATAAATATATGGGTGCGCCTACGGTGACTTGCATATCACGGTGACTTGCACTTGTCGGTTGACCTCACTTAGGATTAGGTCGACCTCATTTACGATCAGGTCGACCTCATATAGGATTAGGTCGACCTCATTTAGGATTAGGTCGACCTAATCTGTTGTTTCAATGTAAAAACAGTTTCATGGTGCCTACATAGGAGATTCATATCTTACAATTGGCTCGATGGAAATTGGAGATTAATGGCTTGTTTTGAAGCTGGAGAGTCCCCCTACACATTGAAGTGCTTGGGAGCTCGATAGGAAGTCTAGAAGACCATTTTTGAACTTGATCAAAAGGCTATGCCAAAACTGGGAAAATGGCTGAAAATGGCCAAGTCTGGGAACGTGTTTGTAAAGCCTACTTTGGAGCTCAATTCGAGAAGCATGAATGCGAGTCGAATCCATGGGCCTCTACCACGTTAAATTAGGTATATTTTTATACAAAGTCAAGCCATTGGATCAAATATTGGATATCTGTAAAGCTTCAAACAAAAGGGTCAAAGTTGCTACGAAAACTGTTTTCCTGGCAGACTTCAAGCACAAGCAAGCTGCCAGAAAAACAGCCTTCGTAGCAACTTCGACCCTTTTGTTTGAAGTCTTACAGATATCCAATCTTTCATCCAATGCCATGACCTTGTATAAAAACATACCTAATTTAACGTGGTAGAGGCCCCTGGACTCTATTCGCATCCATGCTTCTCAAATTGAGTTCCAAAGTAGGCTTCACAAACACGTTCCCAGACTTGGCCATTTTCAGACAATTCCCCAGTTTTGGCATAGCCTTTTGATCAGGTTTAAAAATGGTGTTTTGGACTTCTTATTGAGCTCCCGAGTACCTTAATGTGTAGAGGGACACTTCAGTTTCAAAACAAGCCATTGATCTCCAATTTCCATCTAGCCAATTTTAAGATATGAATCTCCAAAGTAGGCACCATGAAACTATTTTTACACTGAAACAACATATTAGGTCGACCTAATCCTATATGAGGTCGACCGAAAAGTGTATGTCACCATGACATGCATGTCACCGTAGCAAAGTCCTAATATATTTTATGTGATAAATAAATAAATAAAAGGAAGAGGAAAACTAGGAGAAAAAAATCTCATGAATCAAGATATAGAATCTATCTGGTTATGAGAGATTTGATATCCGCAGATTTTAGAGATTTGAAATCTCTAAAGTTAGAATCCACAATACAAAAAACGAGATTTGAAATCTCTAAAGTTAGAATCCACAATACAAAAAACAACAAAAAAAAACATAACTTTCTAAATCTATGGGTTCAGTGAATCCATGTCATAAATCCTGTTCTCCAAACAACCCTAGAATGGAGAGTTGGCCACTGTTGAGAAACATAATACGTGAAAAGAAATCCGACGGCTGGAAGAAGAAAAAAACCTCGGAAAGGAAAAAGAGAGGATAAGCTCGGCTAAATAAAAGAAATACGGGAATAATGTTCCCGCAAAATCCGGCGTATATAAAGAAAATGAGAAATATTATAATATAAACTTAAAAAAAGTGATTGACCTATGCACTAAGTTTGTCATCTTAAAATGACGAAACAAAACTACAAAAGTGAAACGAACCAAGTGCAGAACTATTACCTTTGTTAAATGTTCCACCTTAAAGTTGTTTCTTTAATTATAACCACATACCGAACAAAAATAAGTTCGATTTCTAATCACAATCTTATACCGACGATCATATTGTGATTGGCCCATCAAGCAATATCATTTTTGCCTTTGAGTTCTACAGCACCACAAACAAAAATTAACCATAGTTGTCGCGATTGCAATTGTTTGACCATACAAACCGATCATCACCCTACTTGAGTCATTATGAAATGTATGTATTGATGTAAGAATAAGGGGGAAATATAATAAGTAAATATGTATAGATTGAGTAACATATGCTTACATAGTTACATATTTAGCGATGACCGCACCATAGCATATCTATTGTTTATCAAATGAAATAGTATATTAATCCATATTCGTGGTAATCCTGCCTTCCTTTCTACCTCCAAAAAACCCTAGGGTTTCCCTTATCATGAATTTTTCACCCCAATTCATTACTATTGTCTAAATTAATTAATTTTTACACTCTTAGTTGAGGAAAGAAAATGAAGAGGCGAAATAACCTAAAACCAACAGGCAATCTCCCAACAGCCTCTCCTCAAACTACACAATCGCCGCGCGCCCACCATATCAAACCCTTCAACAAATGGCTCCGGCGGAGACAAAAACAACCGGCGCGGTGATCGGAATCGACCTCGGAACGACCTTCTCCTGCGTGATCGTCGCTCGAAACGGCAAGACGGAGATCATCGTCAACGACCAAGGCAACCGCACCATCTCTTCCTCCGTCGCCTTCACCAACTCGGACCGCCTCGTCGACGAAGCCGCCAAGAACCAGGAGGCCCTCAACCCCCGCCGCACCATCTTCGATGCCAAGCAACTCATCGGTAAAAAATTCGACGACCCAGACCTCAAGCGCGACCTCCGGTACCTCCCTTACCTTGTAGTCGACCGCGGCGGAAAACCCTACGTTGAAATATCAACTGCCAGCGGAGAAGAAGAAGTCAACAAAACCTTCAGCCCGGAAGAGACCAGCGCCATGACCCTGAGAAAAATGAAGGAAACCGCAGAATCTTACCTTGGAAAGCCAGTTACCGGCGCCGTCATCACTGTCCCGGCCTACTTCAACGACATGCAGAGACAAGCAACGAAGGACGCCGGAACAATCGCCGGGCTCGACGTCCTCTGAATCATCAACGAGCCGACCGCCGCTTCCATCGCCTAGGCCTTAACAACAACAGAAATAAGAGGAAGAAGACGATCTGGGCGGCGGCACGTTTGACGTCAATGTACTGGAAGTAGACGGCGGCCAGGTGTTCCGCGTCCTGGTCACCGATGGGGACACTCACCTCAGCGGCGGAGATTTCGACCAGAGAGTATTGGATTACTTCATGAAGCTAATCAAGAGGAAGCACAGCGCGGAGGATGGTTTGGACTGTCGGGCTCTGGGGAGGCTCAGGAAGGAATGCGAGAGGGCGAAGATGGTGTTGAGCTGCCAGAGCCAGGTGAAGGTCGAGATCGATTCTCTCTTCCAGGGTAAGGATTTCTCGGAGTCCCTAACGAGGGCGAAATTCGATGAGTTGAATCTGGATCTGTTTAAGAAGACGATGGAGGTGGTGAGGGCGACGTTGGAGGTCGCGAAGCTGAAGAAGGGCGAGATCAAGGAGATCGTGCTCGTCGGAGGGAGCACTAGGGTTTCGAGGCTGGGGAGATGCTGATGGAGATGTTCGATGGGAAGGAACCTAACAGAGGTGTCAACCCTGACGAAGCTGTGGCTTATGGTGCTGCCGTGCTGGCATCCAACCTTAGAGGCCTGGCCCCTAGATACGGTACGAATAGATTACGTACATTTCCTGGTGGTTCGTTGTCGTTTATTTTGTTTGTGCTTGACTTGAGTTGTTGTCAATTTGATTTTAAGCAAATCGTGAATCGATAAAGAAGGGTAACTCTTTTTTTTTTTTTTTTGTTATAAACTGTCTTACATTTTAATGGTTTTGGTTCTGGTTAGGCACGAAAATCAATAAAGAACGGAAAAGAAATCGTTAACACTCCAATTATATTAAGGTTGTCACCAATTTATGTGTAGTATACTTGTTTCCTATCTTCATACTTCTTGTTATCTTTTTTGGTTCCATTTTTTAACTTTTCCAAAATTATGAATTTGGTTTTTGGTATTTTGATTCAGCCAAAACCAAACCAAAAACATTAATAGCCTTATTGGTTATTGATTAACCGAAAACTCATTAGACGTCTCACCATTTTGGTTTTTGATGTTCCATACTTAATGGTCTGGTAAACCAAACTAAATTGACATCCTTATACTCTACTGCACATGTGCAAGGATTACTAAACCATGTCGTTGTGTGGATGGTAAAACTTGTCGTCTACCATCCATATCAGGGTGGTGCGATAGGGCTGTAAATGAGCCGAGTCGAGTCGATTTTTTGCTTAGCTTGAGCTCGGTTCGTAATTAAATTTTTCAGCTCGAGCTCGGCTCGTAATTAAATTTTTCAGCTCGAGCTCGGCTCAAACTCGAATATTGATAATCCAGCTCGAGCTCGAGCTCAGCTCGAATAAAAATAATCCAGCTCGAGCTCGACTCGGTATAGCTCGGTAAATGCTCATTAACACAGCTTGTCAAGCTGAGTACAAGCTCGGCTCAAGATGAGCTCGATTTGAAATCATTCTTGCTGAAAATATGTGTAAACATAAAAATTTCAAGGATAAAAATAACACTATAAACTAAAAATAACAGGTAACTTCCATACACATTCGTATTAACATAATGTTCATGTTTAGAAGAGTAATTAATCCTTCCACTAGCTCTTAACAAGCCAGCTCGCGAGCTTAGCTCAATAAGTCGCCTAGTCAAGCTAGCTCACGAGCTTATCAAGCTGAGCATGGTCTAGCTCAAGCTTGGCTCGTTTACTAACGAGCCGGCTCGCGAGTCAGCTTGTTAAATAACGAGTCGAGTGTCGAACGAGTTTTTCCCGATTCGAACGCCAAGTTGCTCACGAGCGGTTTGGCTCATTTGCAGCCCTAACGACACATAAATATTATTACGAAAATAATATGACAGTTGATTGTCACACTGTAATTCCATACCACCAAATAATTCGGTATGAGAATAAATTACGTGTTTCTTATTGTGTGTTTTTTTACTTATTATAAAAATTATCAATTGATATATTGGCTAATGAGGATCCTAATTACATAATTATTGGTACTACAGGTATTACCTTACATGAATTTGCTCCCTTAAGTTTGGGGATTAACGTCGTTGGTGATGTGATGTCGGTAGTGATCCCAAGAAACACTTCTATTCCGACCAATTTAACCTACCTACCTACCTAGCTAGCCAGCCTGCTGCAAATTAATTTACAACTTGAAACACATCATATAATCGTATTGAACTTCCGCTGTGTAGATATTCCAAGGTGAAAGAGTGATGACCAAGGATTGCCTTGAGCTTGGAAGGATTAGTCTACGAGACCTTCCACCGGCTCCAAGGTAATTTACACAATGTGTTGATATACATCTTTTGCAAGCATGAGTTGCTAGTAAGAAGAAAACTCCATATATATGTTGTGCAGGGGTGTTGTCAAAATGAACATGACATTCGAGATCGATGCCAACGGGATCTTGAGCGTACTCGTGGAGGACAACGCGACGAACAACTCGAAATCGTTCGTCACCAAGGGATACAAAGGAAATCTGACGGAGGAAGAGGTGGAGAGGATGGTGAAGGAGGCGAAGCAGATGGCCGAGGAAGATAAACAGAGCAAGGAGCGCGTCCAGGCGAGGAACCGATTCGAGAGGTACATATACGACGTCAAGGGCGCTCTGAACAATCGTAACATTGGTACCAATAAGTGGTCACGTGACAAGGAGAAGGTGGAGGTTGCAGTGAGAGAAGCTTCCGAGTGGTTGGACGGGAATGGAAATGTTTCTAAGGAAGAATATGAGAAGAGTATGCAGAAGCTGGCAGATGTGTGGAATCCTATTATACGGAAGGTTTATGCATGAAATGAGAGTACGTACAGTGCGGGTGATGTTGATGTTATGTATGTTTGCTAAACTAGGTTTGTTCATCTAATTTCGTGCATTCGATGGCACTTCATCTATTTACATACGATGTTACTATCTAGTATTTCATATTTCAACCTTGTATTAACAGTTTTCTCGATTTGCCGGTGATTTAATAATTCATGCTGACGTGGATGTCGTGTATGTTGTCACAAAACCCTTCTAGTCATCTTAGTAAAAGTGTTCGTCTCAATTATTCAGTGAGAACCAATCGGCATTTGTGAAAGACGGAGGAATTGGTGATAATACATTCTTGTAATAGGAAAGAAGATTATATCATGTCTTCTTAATGAGACTGTGAATTGATATATAGTGGCCTGATTTGTAACTGTTGGTTTCTGGAAGCTTTGGCTTACGCCTCCCACACAATGAAAAAAAGGTTCAAAGATCTATCGTATCATTCTCAACGCCGCAAGCTTTAAGTTACATATTTATGTTTTGCGGATGATCTCGTTAGTTTCTCTACAAGTTATGTTTATGTAGTAGAGACTACATATAGAGTCCTACAGTGCTTCTATGAGCTTTATGGCCTTCATTATAATCCTGCCAAGAGTGTAGTTTATTCATCGGATGAAATTAGGGATGGCAACGATTCGGGTGGAGAAGATTTTCCTCTCTACCATTGTTGAACTACGGTTTTAAAATAGAGAACTTGGAAATTTCAAACAACCCCACCACACAAATAATGAACGATCCAAGTCTCAACTCTCAATGTTTATGTTCCGCTGGACGGATGACGGCAACACCCATGTTCCTGAGAACTGAAAAAATTGGAACTTAGGCTTTCCAATGCAGAGTAGATGTCGATAAAGACAACTACGAACGGCGAAGTAGAGAGAGGGAGACGCTGGGGGATTTTGATTTCAGATTGAGAGTGGCCGAATTGCAAGTGGGAGATGAGGTAGATTTCTTTTTGTGGGGCTCCAAGGCAAATCCAGATGCCAACAAAGACTGCGTCGACCGGCGAAGTAGAGAGAGGGCCGACGGTGGGTGGGGGTTTTGGATTTCAAATTGATTGTGGCCGAACAGAAGGTGGGAGATGAGGAGAGTTTCGATGAGCAGAGAGGTTGTCGGGAGGGATTTCGTGGGTCGGATTTGAAAGTGGCAAAAAATAGGGTGGGTGATTCCGATTTCATATTGCGGTTGGGAATACTTTGTGAGCCAACAGCTCACCTAATTCCCAAAGATGCATATGGTGTGAGCTACCTAAAGAGCTTACCTTCTCCTCTAATCATTCTCCTTCTGTCAAATGTTTACAATTCGTTAGCATTTAACTTTTTACGTATTGGCTCTCCAGTGGCCTTCTATCTTATGCATGGCGGAACCACCATGCTCCCTCCCCATTCCACGATATTTCGCAATTCGCGACTTGTGGGCAACCAACGCGAACGGTTCCGAGATTTCACATACAGAAACACCTTTCCCTATGATCTCGCGTATTAATCTGGTGGTATGGATCGTATTTCTTCTTCTTCTTTTTTTTTTATGGTTTCTTATTCTTCTTTCATGTTGATAACCTATCCTTATTTTTTGCTTGGAGTAATAGGCGAGATTTTCTTGGGGAACGTATGACACCCTTCAAAGTACGTGGCCCCAGCTGCGAATCACAAATGACCAATACCCCCACCCCCAAATTCTGGACCTACGAGTGGAACAAACATGGAAGGTACTCAGGGGAAACCGTGGAGATGTACTTCTACTCCGCAAATATGCTAACACGATTTATCGAAGTGGGAAAAAAGACTTGCAGATGGTTCCATCACTCCAGGGCAAGGGTATAGGCCAGCAGATATCCAGTATGCTTACCTCATGTAGAAATAGGATACCTTACCATCTATTACCTGCAGGAGATCCGCTACTACGTCGACCTCAATATGAAAAATTATTCTGTGTACCATAAACGATTGGACTTCATGTGGAGGAAAGTTTTCTACTGTGCTGTTTTATACATTGTAGTTGCAAACCATTATCTTAATGTTAAAATGTTATGATTTTACGATCTTCTATATTGGCTTCGATCCTAATTTTATTACTAAATCCTTGAACCTTAAAATTTCATAAAATCTCAATTTAAAACTTTAAAATCCTTAAAATCAACGATTTGTTTGATTTTGTATGATTTCAAAGTTCATGTTAATTGGCTCGTTAACTAACTCGTTTACTAATGAGCCGAGCTTGAGCCAGATCCAGCATAGCGAGCTTGAGTTCAAGTCGAAACACCTTCAACCCAGGCATCTGAACCCAATCGACAGCAGTTCCTCTAGCCTTTGATAGGAACTCTGTTAAGGTCTCCTCCGCAATGGAGAGCAGTGTAAAAACACAGTCACAACTTCCATCAGTTGCTGCCGACCCTTACACAAGCATACATTCAAAGATAACAAGAATCAAATTGAGGATCCTAATTACATACTTATTGGTACTACAGGTATTACGTTACATGACGGTGCTCTCTTAAGTTTGGGGGTTAACGTCGTTGGCAATGTGATGTCTATAGTGATCCCAAGTAGGGCTGCAAATGAGCCGAGTCAAGCCGAGTTTTACCCCAGTAACGAGTCGAGCTCGAGCTCAACTCGTTTATTAACGAGCCGAGCCGAGTCGAGTTCGAGCTAGCTTGTTTAATAAAATCTTGACTTTTATTTGGTACTTCATTTTGTATATCATGATACATTTGATTTATTTTGTTAGCTAATCTCATATTATACTTTGTTGATATCATATATCATTTAGTTATAAATTTTAACTACTCCAAATCATATTATTTCATAGTATCGAAGCAATCTATGATACATATTTTCATTTAAAAATAGAAAATAAGATATATTTGCTCACATACTCAACGTGTTAAACTTTATATATGGCGAGATATATAATTTAACAACCATATGAATTAAAATCATAAGATATATACATTGATTCGTCCATAAGTCGGTAATCGAGTTGGCTCTCTAGCCACATGTTGAGACATATCATGAGCTCTGAACGAGCCAATTCACGAGTTTAGCTCAACAAGCCACCGAGACGAGCTATCTCGTGAGCTTCACGAGCTGAACAAAGTTTAGCTCATGTTTGGCTCATTTATTAACGAGCCGAGTTTCGAACGAGTTTTTCTCGAGTCGAACGCCGAGTTGCTCGCGAGCAGCTCGGCTCATTTGCAGCCCTAATCCCAAGAAAGAAACACTTCTAACTGCTCAAAATTTTGTGCATGCGATAGCTTTCTTTAGTTCTTGATTTATTGACATGCAATATTGCTCTATAGTGTTGCATGATTTGATAGTTCTTGATTTGTTGACAATAACATAAAGTTGTACCATGTCTTCTTAATAAATCGGCTCGGCTCAAAAAACTCTTGTATCATTCTCAAAATATCGCAAGCTTAAATCTTATGTTTTGCGGATGATCTCCTTATGTTTACACCCACTTTCTTTCGAAATTCGGCTAATTAAAGCCGGTAATCGGCGACCTTAACGAGCCGGAGCTTTCTGTCTCCGATCACCAAGGCGTGGTTTCTCAACAGTGACAGACTTTCTGAAATTGAGAGCTTTGAAACTTCAAACAACCCGACCATATAGAGATGAACAAGTCAAGTCTCAAAGTCTCTGTTCCGCTTTTTTCCACACGCACTTGGTCAGTTAATGCAACTCAACGAACCACCGTCTTCCTCCTCAGTTCCCATTTCAAACTATCCAGAGCAACCCCACAGCTCCAATCTGACCCAGTCACCTCCACCTTCCGTCCTCTATAAAACGAATCCTCCTCAATCCCAAACTATCCAATCAAATTCAAACCCACTCATCCAAAAATGGCTCCATCCACCATCACCCCCAAACTCCTCCTCTCTGTTTTCCTCGTCGGAGCTCTGGCCGCCGCCGCCGCCGCCCAGAACTGCGGCTGCGCTTCCAACGAGTGCTGCAGCAGGTGGGGCTTCTGCGGAACCAGCCCGGATCACTGCGGGGCAGGCTGCCAGAGCGGGGCCTGCAGCAGAAACGAAGTTCAGGTGGCCGACATCGTCACCCCTGCATTCTTCAACGGCATCATGGACCAGTCCGACGCCGGTTGCGCCGGGAAGAGCTTCTACTCCCGCGACGTCTTCGTCCGGGCCCTCGGGTCGTACCAAGGCTTCGCCCGGCTCGGGTCCGAGGACGACTCCCGGCGGGAAGTCGCCGCCTTCTTCGCCCACGCCACCCACGAAACTGGACGTAAGTGTCTTTTACTCTGGTTTGGTTCGTCTGGTTGAGTCTCTCACTCTGTTGACGATGATCCTACTTTTACAGACTTCTGTCACATAGAGGAGATTGATGGAGCATCCAGGGATTACTGCGAGGAGGATAACACACAGTTTCCTTGCAATCCAAGCAAGGGTTACTACGGCCGGGGTCCGCTCCAGCTGTCCTGGAACTTCAACTACGGCCCTGCCGGAGCTCAGATCGGATTTGACGGGCTCAACGCCCCCGAAACGGTGGCGACTGATCCCGAAATCTCATTCATGACGGCGCTATGGTTCTGGACCAACAATGTGCAGCAGGTGATGGGTCAGGGATTCGGGGCGACCACCAGGGCCATTAATGGCGCTCTGGAGTGCGACGGAAGGAACTCCGCAACCGTGCAACGCCGTGCCGAGTTTTACACCGAGTACTGCCGCCAGCTCGGTGTTGCTCCTGGGGATAATCTCACATGTTGATGAAAAAGTGGCAATATATATGTAATGTTTGCAGATGGATTGATAATATTGATTTTGTGCATATGCATTTACTGTCTACGTGTTATTTCTAAGAGCATTCTACCATTGCATTTACATTCAGAACCAGTGCATGCGTGGAATGCAAGTCAATCAAATCAATGAATCGAATCGAAATCGATGAAACCAACATCACTACGGAATGCTAACACTCTAAACCACAGCTAGTTAGAGATTATCTAATCTAATAGTTTTCCACGCTTAATTGAAGGAACCGTAATTGGTGACTGGGGGATCGAACATTCGTTCCTGAATTGCTGCATTTCCCGATTTGTGATGCAGAGACATCATGATGGGGATTGGATCTCGCATTTGCAGAACCGCCATGATCCATCGTCTTGCCTCTTCAATGCATAGTGAATCTTATACTTGCTGCAAAGGATTTTAATTATTAGATCAAATTTGATAATCCACCACTGATCAATTCAGACACTTGGTCTCTTTACCTATCCCGGTGAATAATCAAGATAATGGTGCTACATTTTACCTGTGATAGTTTGGGTTCTTCTTCTGCTGAGACTCGTCAACAAGCTCAGCTGCTTCCTCGAGAAGGGCTTCGATTTCTGCAGTCTCCATCCCGAATCCATCAGAAACAACATCAGCTTTCAAGATGGACAGGTCTAGCAAAAGAAATCTCCAATAGCAGGACTTGGAGTGAGCTGCATCAGCCAATTCTTGCCACTGCAGATCGGAACAATAAAAGTCAGTGAGTTGTTTACCCGACTGGTGCTTGCAGAGTCCAGAACGATGGAGGTTATTCACTATTCAGTTCTATCAAGGTTTGATTTACCTGATCAAGCATTGACTCAGCAAGCAGTTCAGACAGGCTCTGGATTTGATGCTCGGGACCCAAAGCTTCAGCTTTGACAGTTTGCCATTGCCTAACCAGAGCTTCAGCTTCGTCAACTGGCATCTGCTTCCTAGACACCACTCTTGTAGAAGACTTTCTGCCAGTGGTCACCCCCGAATTCTGTGATGTACTATGACGTGGCAGTGTGTAGAATTTTGTTTTGACAGTTGCTGATAGCTTCTTCATTCTGTCACCGATACCACCTCCTCCAATGCTATCATGAGAAATATCTGAGATGTCACTATGGGAAGCAGTATCAGCAATATGCTTATTGACGGCAAATGTAGGTGACCTTAGACTCCTGTAAGATAACTTGGAGGTGATAAAAGTGATGCACCCTAATACTACAACAAATATGATCTTTCCAACCACATTCCCATATGATGGCCAACTTTCCCAATTTCCATGATCTCGCATGTCCAAATTTCTTTTCAGTTGAACCGGTGGTGGGTCCTCACTGGCTTGATCATCACTCTTGTCGGACATCAATGAGGGCTGCAAATCCACAAGAGTCAACTGCTTCACAGCTGATCCAAGGTGTTGAGAAGAGGTCTTGAATGAGAGAGATTCCCCACCATGATTCATTCGTTCTGATGAAAAATCTGAGAAAGGCCTTTGACCTGTACCCCTTTTGGTTGAAAGAGAAGGTAATTTGCTCTTCTCGCCTTCAGTTCTCCTTTCACCAGAGAAAAAACCTACCTGGAAGCCCAAAAGTTAGCCAACAATCCTCTTTTTCTTCCAATTAGTTGATCGGTTAGGGTAGTACTCACCAGTGATGGTGAACAATCTCTGGTATCTGAAAACGCAGCAAGCACAGAGTCCTTCAGCCATGTTTCCTGGTCAAGTTCAGCAGGATGTCTGACATAAGAAAGTAAATAAATTGCTCAAATAAGGCATCAAGAAAATAAATACATGCTTTTGCAGAACTCTGACCTATTACTATCTTCTAGTGCACAACTTAAAAGGACTTCTCAAGCACACATAAATGCTCAACTCATCCATCAAGCAAGGATGCAACCCTACTACGCTACCAAAAGCATGATGCCTGCAATGAGGTTAAGTCAATTTGCTAAAACAAATCCTCAAAGAGCAGAAGTCTTCATAAAACACTTGAAAGTATCCACTTTAGCCCTTCCCCTAGAACTACAACCAGTGGAATTTCCGTATTACCTAGCATACATAGAGCCTGAAATTGCCTTACCCGGAACTGGCACCTAAAAAATTCATCCCTAGATTTTGACAATGAGAACCTATAGGAACCTACCTTTGGTTCAAATATGTTCTAGAAAAGAAACCTTCAGATTCATGAAGAGATAAATAGTACATAAATTTAAACTATATCATACCACTGGAGACTTGACAGAAGTTGCAACGTTCTTCTCCTTCCCAGAGATTAAAATCCGTGGAGCAGGGTTCACATTCAATTCTAGCTGTTGAAGCTTATCAATAACCTGGGCCTCATTTCCCTGACAATTACGAGTGCACATATCAGGAAAGTCATAAAAAAAAACAGGGATGAGCAAACAAGGAAACGAAAAATGAAATGGTCCATAAAATTCTAGAATATGTGAGCATGCTGATTAACATAACTGTGTAGCAATTGAGGAAACAAACTGAAACATACCTCCCCCAAAAGAAACAAGCAAAATGCTTCCTCCAATTTTAGATCAATACCTTCCGATGCTATCAGAGTGCCACATATATCTTTCGCTCTGTTGATCTAAAGGATAGGATCAAGGTCAGCACAGATAGAGAAAAACAAAAACTTAGCTATGTTACATTATATGAGATAAAAATGTGTTTACCAATTTTGTCTGTTTCAAAGAGAAACCCAGAGCAATATGAGCTATCAGTGCCACATAGAAACAATCGAAGTCAATCACAGCCCTCTGAGTATGTGATTCAAGTGATTTCTTGTTTCTCCTAGTAAGGGCTAAATCATCCCAAGGAAGAAGATCAACTATTTCCGTGGCCATGAGCCGATTAAACGCTTGAATCAGAAAGCAAGGCCAGTCTTGGACTCTACATGACATTTCCGCATCAAGGCCTTGTCTGAGTAATTCACCCAAAGCTGCTATTGCTCCTCGTCTCCTTTCAGCATTTTCAGGAGAACGAGGCATGCTTAATATCTCCAGTGTGCAAGCAGGTGCCAGCTCCTCCAGGGATTCTTCTATCTGAACATAGAAGACAAAAAACTTTACAAAAAAGGGAAGAAGAAACGTCTCCAGAACTTGAGAGCTCTAACTTTCATCACCTTTCATATAGTCCTTCAGTACAAGTTGGCTTCCATATGCACGACATAGAACTAGACATCAATAAAATAAAGGTTATATATTAAGCATTACCTGGGCCAGCAAAGCCATCTTCCCAAGGGAGATCTTACTCCTAAGCAGACACTGAGCACGGGCTAGAGCTTCAAATCCAAAGGATACCTTATTGTTCTCAAAATTAATTGTTGCAATTGCACACTGAAAAAAAGAGCAGCAGTCATAAGAAAAAGTTTCCTAACAAAGTTCTGCTGGTTAATAATGAGCCTATCAGTTCAATACTTACTTCTGCCAGTGCCATTGATAAAAGTATGTCATGGATATACGGCTTAGCATCTGGCTTCTGGATAGCCTTTCTTCCAATATCAAGCACTAGCTTCTCTTCACCAACCTGTAAATGACATTTATACGAAAAGAATTACAACTGTAGCGAAGTTGTTTGACAACAATGCAATTCCAGGAATTGATTAGGATCATATATAGCAGTTTTTCTGGAAGAAATATACTACAACCATGAAGTGCATAAAGTAGGACGACGGTGGGAACTAGGTAACCAGAAAATTTGGGAAATTCTAATCTTAAGACGATAAAACTCGAGATATCAGTTATACCTCTTGAAGAAGGGAAAGAGCACCAGGCAACCAGGCCCATGGAATGTATAGAGAAGACTTGGGTGGAATCTTATCCCTCACGTTTCCAGCATATTCAGGTTCAAAAAGAACCTTGTCCCTCACATCCATCAAAAGATCCTGCATACATAATAGAACACAAGGGAAATTAGGAAGCCCACAACTGTTCTCCGATGCAAACACCACGTGGACAAGAATATTTATAAAAAAAATTACCAAGGAACATCACCTTGCGAGACATTATGGCTTCCATTGTATATCCATCTTCTACCTCAGCACTTTTCAATTGGATCACTGACTTCACTACCTCGTCTTTCTCTGCTTGATTGCGAAGACCAAGTAGCTGCAGGTTACCAATTATCTAAAGGTCAGTAGCCAACCAACATGCTGATACCAAACTAACAAGAGCTACAAGCCAAGTTTAGAAGTTAATTATAGATACAATTTTGCAAACTAATTGATCACATCCACCTGCAATCATTTTCACTTTAATTATTCCATTGGCACTTTCATTCTGATCGGCAGTAAAACATTCAATTGAGCTTGCTTTGCCTCCAAATCAAATCATTTCTACTCACCACAGCTTCTGAACCATTCAGGAGCATTGTAGATGATGCACAATGACTGAATACCACAAATTTTCCCCAATTGATTCCCACAACAGAGCTAGACATAGCTAGTTGAAAGTAAATTCTAACTCGAAATGACGACTACAATCTCCCTGCGCTGCACTGCTAAAAATGCAAACCACCCCCGACTTAAACCAGAGAGAGAAACAACCTGATAGCAGGTGACGTTGATTTCCACAGTGGCAGTGGCCGGAGCGGTGGCATTATCTAGGACGCGAGTTGGAGTAGCAGCGTTCAGTATCCAAGGCGAGACCGTAACAGCTCTCTTTCTCAAACCCCTCGACAAGGAACCAGTGAGGAAACCCCCAAGTCCGGCAGGGGAGGAAATCACCGGGCGGCGAGCAAAGCCCACGAGAAGGGAATGTGTCGGGGGTGCATTGCCACGGAGAATTCGGAAATGTTGACAGCGACAGCAGCAGCAAGAAGCCGGGGAAGGAATCGACGGCAGATTGAGGTGTGGCAGCGCCATTTGTCAAATTGATCGAAACCCTAACCCCATGGCAGATGAAAACGGAAGGTTGTTTGTGCGGAGAGAGAGCGCTTTTTGGAACGGAACCTGCTTTGAGTAAGGAAATGGCAATCTGTGTGGGAGAGAGGAGA